CAACTTCTAACTATTCCCATTTCCTCAGTGGGGATATATTTGCTTATAGTGAATACTAGGATTTTATTTATCTGAAAAATAATGAGGGAGTAGATTGGACTCCTCAGACTCCCTGCTCACACAAAGCAAAGCACTAGAGTATGGAAAGGAGGAGTTAAAGTTATATCCCAGACAACTACTTCATCCAGAGCTTTATCAGTACATTCACTTTAGTCACTGGTGGACACTCCCAGAATGTGCCAGGCCACTTTCTCTTGTGTCTGCCCCAGGGCTCTTTTTCTTTTCCTCACCACCATATCTTTGAACCTAGAAAAGGCAAAATCTTACTATGTTAAGGATGTCACAGTGTGGTTGAAATAATTACTTGAGGAAAACAAGGAATGACTGAACACAAGGTGACATTTCCTGTCAAACAAGGGTGTGCCACATGAGCAGAGGGTTGTGGAAAGGGGGTGAGGTAGTACTGGCACTTATGAAACAGCTCTGTCACAGTATATTATCACAACTCCAACTTATTAGGAAGGGAATTGCACCTGCTTGCCATGTGCTTAGTTATTATCTCTGTTTATAAAGCGATTCTGCAGCTATTAAGTGATAAATGCACTGAGTGAATCATATGGCATCTTAAATTTAGAATTTCTGCAGTATGCCAAAGGGAATAATCTGTCTTCTTTCTGTCTGAATACAGTTACTGACTGTACAATATGTTTCTTTGAGAATGTTTCTTCTCAGGAACCTGTATGGCTCTCTTGTGTCAGCCAGGTGTGTCTGTAAGGACACTGCTTCTGTCTTCCTTCCACTGTACACTCCACAGCATATGAGGTGAACATCAGGCAAAAGGGAGAAAGATCTTTGGTCAAGCATGCTCAGAGCTTAAAGTGAGGAGAGGATTTGTTGAATGGAACAAGGGAATATATCTGAGTGAGAATCTGATGATTCTACTGGTGTGACTGTAGCTGTAAAATACAGTTCAGTGTAAACTCGAGTCTTGCACGCAAGCAATTACATGTAGAGGTGCTCTAGAAAAAAATGAGATATCTTTGCAAAAACTGTAGTTGTCTTGTCAAGCTACAAATGGCAGAGTAGAAAATAAACTCATCTAATCTTCCTAGAAATTGGCATAATAGTTCTTCTAGAGTCTGGTAGTAACAAGTCAGACAAGACTTTTGAAAGACCATGTACTTTCAAGAAAAAGACAGTGAAAAGAGAAATACAAAGAAAAGTTGTATCAGAGGCCTGCTTCTTTGAGGAGATTATTCCATCCTTTTAATGGGACAGAATAGGACCCAGGGTGTGTTTGAAATTCCCCTGTCAGATCCCAGGGATGTAACAGTTGGTGGTAGAAGTGAAGTGGAGCAAAATAAACATAATCAAGATGGAAGATCAGGAAATCATTGAATGATAGGTCCTGTCATGTCTATTTTGGATGTACATAATTGCATTCATCAATTTATTATACAATACTCTGATGAAATGTTTTTAAAATTAAGTACTTCAACAGGTGTTTAGGTTTTGCTTAAATTTTGCATTTATATTTTACTTCTGTTTATCCTGTGGTGAGAAAAAGATGTGTATTAGCATATCTGTATGTACAATAAGTTTAATTAAATCCTAATGAAGAAACAGGTTAAATGTCAGAGCAGCTAAATCAAATGGGAATGAAATATTATAGGAACACACCCTCCTTTTTTATGAAGGTTTTATGTGTCAGCTGAGAGCTTGTGGTACAATCTGAATAAATAGCCAGAGATTCATAATTTCTGCCAAGATAATGTCGTGAGGTCAATTGTCAGTTAAGCTTGAGAAAATGTAACGTGCATAAATTCATCATTCATTGTGTAATTTATATAGTTGTTTTCCATGGAGTAATTTGGACTTCCAGTATACAGTCCTTTGTATTTGCTTGCTGATCCATTCTTTCATCATTGCTGTATTGCAGCATTGAGTACCAACTCTCAGTAAACGAGAGTGATGTAGAGCCTGCAGATCCTTTGATGTAGATAATGGCATTTACATTTTTCATGTTGTCTGTTTTCCTGTTCCATGCAAGGTGACTGGAGTTGGATGTCCAATGTTCCAGATGGCTGTAGCTGTCTCACTGTAAAACATCAGTGATTTTGTGTTTCAGTGAACTTCTGAGAACTTTCTAGCTGTGCAGTGGGAGTGCATTTCCGTGTGGGAATACAATGGGCTGAATATCATCGAGCCATTGAAGGAGGATATGAAGGAGTAGTGCAAAAATCCTTTTCTAAACAGTTAAAGGACTACTGAGTTACCTGTCCTGCTACTCCTGTGACTGGAAGTCTCTGAGTTGATCTGTTAAATAAAAAGTATAAAATGGCCCAAATTACATGCTTCATGTAGACATCAGGTCATTCTCATTTTTCATTATGATGAGTTAACCTCTCGATCTTTTCACAAGAGGATATAATTTTATCCTGTTGAACTTTAAACACGTGAAATAATTTAAAAACTTATTGCTTACGAGTAAGAAGATGATGCTACTTAATTGTATGTAAATACTAGTGAATAACAGACAGCATTTTGTATTGCAGTAGATTGTGTTACCAATTTATGTATTTACTCTTTTCACTGGGGTGATAGTGATGGTGGCAGGGATGGTGATAGCAGAGCTTTTTTCCTTTATAGCTTATGCAACAAACAACTCACTAGATTAGTCTTATCATTAAAAAGCAAATTTTTTACTGTTGGTTATGTTGCTGCACTGACAGTCTTGTAAAATGCTATATCCTTTCAATGGACAAAGAGAGGATGTGTCAGTAATAGAAGTGTTTTGATCTAAGGCTGAATATCTATTTGCTTAAAAACCTGCCACAATAACAATATTTTCCATTGAATTTCCATTTTCATATTATACCTGAGACAAGTAAAAAAAGTAACCAATTGCAATGAAAATTTATTTAGACAGATTATAGGGGCAATAAAGCTTCACGCAAAGTCAAGTTTTAATCACAGGTAAGGTAGACTGAAAGGGTCAGGAAGCACTTGCATATTCATCTCATTAGGTAACAGAAATTGTATCACATGGCTTGTCTAATTTACCACAGCGTAACGATCCTGTCTCAACTAGTTGCAGAGAATTATTTAAAAATTTGACAGTCAGATCAGATTGGCAACTGGGAGAAAGTTTCTCCTCAGCAATGTAGTGCAGCACTGGAACAGGTCATCCATGGGGGTTTTCAAGACACAGCAGAACAAAATTCTGGCTGGGTCAATCTGCTGCTGGCAATAGTCCAACTGTGGGCACAATGTTGGACAGGAGGACTTGCAGAGGTCCTCATCAGGAATCATTTCAATTATTCTAATTCCAGAAAACCATCTAGTAACTTATTTGAAGGACAGCATTATTTCCAATCAAAAAAATGGAAATTCATTGTGTCTTTGTTAGAAACTGTTAACTTTAATGGAAATCTATAGTAATATTTATAAGAGACACTACTATGCATGCATGTTTGATCTGTCCATAAATCTGGTAGAAAAGTAAATGCATAGATTTTGAAAAGCCTGATACCTGTAATCCAGAGAAATTTGGCTAAACAGCACACACCTATATCCAATGGGAGCTGAGCATGTATAAAACCTTTGTAGGATTAAAACACTAGATTGATTGTCATCCCATAAAGGAGAGAAGCTATGTAAAATAATAGGGGAAGTAATTCCATTTTTATTTGTCTAGTCACAAGTTTTATGTTTTAATTTACCTTTAAGTCAATAGAAATTTAATTCCAACTGATACAGGAATCTAAGTCAATGCTTTCAGTATGGCTTGATGGTGTTAGTATCTGCAAGGTAGTAATCCATCAGAACCACCTTTCTGAAGCTCTTTTGCATATTGCCAAGCTTCTGTGGATATCTTGATGGAAATTATTTCAAGGCTTCTACATTGCACTGTAAGAATGACAGACCTACCTGTCAGACCAAAAAAATCAGATCTCTCCAAATATCTAGACAGGAATCAAAGAACACTGTTAAGCAGTTTCTCCCATGCCTTTTCCCACTCATTTGCTGTTGAAGAAAGGATGCCAGAAAATATTTTACATATGGGTTTATGTTTCAGGAGTTACAGTAAGCTCCTCCTTCAGAAAATATTGCTGCAGTTGCTTATAATCCAACCCAGGAGCCAAGGACTGAGTTGATATGAAGTCTAAATGTCTTCTCATATTTGCTTACAGATCACTCACAGATCTTTTACTTCCTGTGCCAGTTCACTGTGGAGCTGCTGAGGCACGCAGAGAGTTTACTACTACCCCTATTGTGCAGATAAACACCAGGGCTCCATATTTAATTTAGTATCTCTGTTTCTCAGAATCACAAAAAAAATTCGTCTAGAAGAGAGCTCTGGACGTCTGTGGGTCCAAACTCTCTGCCCTGCCAGCACAGCCAATTTTGAAGTCAGATCCATCTTCAAAGCTAATTCACTTTTCTCAGGGCATGTCTCAGGGTTAAACATCATATTTTTTTCCTTTTAACTGATGAGTACAATATTCATGAGGACAAATAACTTCTCAATATCATACAAGTTTGGAACAGAAGATTGACTTTTAGCTTCCCTGAAAGGTAATTGAAGTATTTCTTTAGATCTGAAAGCATCTAGGATATTACTCCAGATCCCACATCTCCAAGTTTCATATTCAGCTTTAACAAAAGGGTTTCAGTGATTAGGACATTCAGTCCACAGGAATTTTTAATAATAATGTAATATAGGTAAAAGAGGTGGTGGTCTTTTTCCTCCCCTTCCCTCCTTTCCACTCTTCTCCTCATCTCATGAAACAGTGTAGTGTGTATATTAAGAATGAAAAGCAACTAGATTTATCCATTGCACTCACAATGCATTTAATGAGTTTGCTCAGTGTTGTCATGTGATCTGTGATCTATTTTCTAGTCTTAGTTGCTTGATTAATAAGAAACAAACAAAATATCTACGGTACTGAGCTTGCATAACAATGAATGTCCATCTTTAAAACTTTTATTCTCCACCCAGTTACATTTATGAGACGTTATCCTTGTATGGAGCCTACAAACAAGTACCTGTACAAATACACTTGCCAGGATTAAAGCTAAAGGTGAGCAATAACTCTTTATTTCAGCAAGATCTTGGTTACAAATTAACTTTGCTAGGCTCACTGTACAAGGGCTTATCCCACATGTTTTTCAGGAAGTGGATCCTGTTGCTGTTCTGTGGAGACAGGCAATGTCATTCCTTCAGATTTTTTAATATCATTGCAGAGACGTATAATTCAGGGCAGAAAGATGGAAGGCTGTGGATAGAAGGTGAATGAGAAACCCTAATCTGATATTTTAAAATGTTTGATATCCCAGGAAGGCCAGCATTTATTTAAATTTTTCTTTTAAACATTTTAGAATATTTTTGAAGTTCATTTAGCTAGAATAGTTTAGATAAATGAATAACAGTAGAATTATGTGAATCAAGATAGTAGAAACCAGATGGGTTTTTTTGGAAGAGGGGCTACATTTTATGAGATGATCTAATATAATTGGGAAAAGCTTTTGAGCTCACTAGCCTTGATACCATGCATAGATTTCAAATAAGATTTCAAGGGTCTTTGACACTGATCTGAGGAGGACTTCTTTAATCTATGTTGCTCTAAGTGAATTACAATACTTTTTCTTTCCGATAGATCCTAAAAGACAAGTACGTATGTACTGGCATTCTCTGTGCCAGTTCACTGGAGCCTGGGATCATATATGTCAGCCTGGCCAAGAATTTATCATGGGCATGATCTTCTGTAGAAATCTGCTCATTATAATCCCATTATGTGTGAAATACACATTAGGGCTACAAAACGACACCCTCATGAAGCAGCTAAATTGCAACAGATGGGGACATTTTTTTCTGTGAACAAAGCTGCAGGTAAAATCTGTGTTTACAGGTCTGTGTACAAACACTGCCTCCCCTCCAACACCCCACGAGATAAGTGTGGCTGGGAGGAGGGGAACAGCTCGGGGTAAGAGGAACAGTTCTCACACCTGCAGTCAAGGTATTTTTATGGTTCTTATTACAGACTTTGGGGATAAGAAGCATCCCGTGCTCAATGATCAGGCTGCTATGCTGTTTCATTACCACTATATCCAAAGGATATAAGTAACCAAAAAGAATATGAGTGGGTTTTTATTCTACTGACGAGTTCTAGAAATGTATTGGCAGAGGAAAATACAGCTGTTGCATAAATTCAGCAATGCCAGAGAATGTAATGCTGAAAACATTTGAGTATATAAATACCTATTGCAGATTAAAATTTTCATCTCTGAGTGTTTGGGAATTTGCCCTTTCTGTACCAATGAAATATCTTCAGAATTGCTTCTCAGGCAGCTGCACATGTGAGGTGCAGAGACAACAGCTGAGAGGTATTTAACAACTGTCTTGTAATGTTCAGTGAGATACACCTGTGCACTGCAGAGTTTCCTGCATGGCCTCTGTCAGGTAAATGCTTCTAATACATAACTTCTAAGGTACTTCACATGAGACAGCATCCTTGAAATGTAGTTTATTTTCATTGAAATAAATGGAATTAGTCTTACTGATGGTGTTAGCATGTGAATCAGTGTTTGCTGAAGGAGGTCCACAATAACTGTTATAATTAACCAATTATAAAATTAGCATGTTAAAAGAAGATGAGAAAATGTGATTTACTAATTAAAGCTATCAGCTATTCAGTTAAATGTCCAACTCTGCATTTTCCCATGATAGACATTAGTAGCTAAATAGCAGCATGATTTTTCATTCAGTGAAAACTGTATTTCAACACAACACTAATATTGGAGTACAAACTGAAGATTTAATTAAGCAAAAGAAATATTATTACTAGTCTAACTAGCAGCATCTGGCCTTTAAAAATCGTTAGTAGCTCCTCAGTGGTGGCAATAGGAAAAATAATAACTGTTGAAACAGTTCAGAGGCATTTTAATTTTCTTTTCTGCTTTAAAATAAATTTGAGTTTGACAATACCTCTGAAAATTGTCTCAGTCTGCAATGTTACAAATATTGTAACAAATATAAGCAGAAAGGCTTAGCAGTGTTTTTGTAGCAGCTAAACTGGGTGATGATTTCCCATTGTGGATTCTCACCTGTGAAATGAAAGAGGCATAGAGAGAAGCTGTCCAGCTTGGTCTGCAGTTAATACCCAGGAGCTGGTTCCTTACTGAGCAGTTGTAGGGTAGAAAATGCAGGACTTTATATTGCTGTTTTGCAAAACTTCCTACATACACTCTCTCTCAAAACAAACAAAAAAATATTTTCCTAGGACCCACCTTACAAACCAGAGAATAGGGCCTAAAATACAAAGTACTTTCTGTCTGTAATATCCCTTAAAATCCTTGTAGAATACTACACCTTTATTACACATTAACGTTGGCATGGGCCGCTGGATACACACGTAGCAACGTGCACAAAAGGAAATTAATTAGGAGCAGGTAGAGACTTCTGTTTCGTGGATTTCAATGCTAAGTCATAAATTGTGTTTTAGCAACTCTACGCGTGCATTCCTCAGATTTGCCGAGGAAATGGGCCGGGTGTGAGCGCTCAGAGCCCCGTATCCCCCGCACGAGGGGCCGGAGCGCGCGTTGCCTGCGCCGGGCGGGAGCCCGCAAAACTGAAAGCAGGTAGAGGCACTTCCTGCGGGCAGAATTAAAGAGAGAGAGGGAGTTCTCCTCTGATCTCCCTCAAAAACCAATCAGGCCAGATTAGCCAGGCGTTGATTCTCCCTCCGTCCCTCCTACACCTTTTTCAGAGGCCCAATGGCCTTGTCCCTTTGGGAGATTGACTAGAGTCACATGAGCTGCACCAAGGGCAGGTAACTCAGGAGAGGGGAAGAAAAAAAAAAAAGGAGAGGAAAAAAAAAACCACCAAGGCTAGGCTGAGCTTCTGCCATGATGTCAGAGGGAAAGAAACCCACAGCTTGCTAATTCCACCTCCCAATCAGCCCCGGGAAGGAGAGCACCGGGAACAGGTAGAGATGTGAGCTTGCTTTCTCCATGTTTTTTTTCCTCGAACACCCTACCTCCTTAAATAGCTCTTTCTTTCCTCTTGATATTGTGACTCCTCGTTTGCTCCTTTCCCCCTTTGATTACTTGGAGGTTGGGGGTGAGCCTTGTGGGGGTTTTTTTGTTTTGTTTGTCAGTGTGTCTTTCTTTTTCTTTTTTTTTTTCTCTCTTTTTTTTTGACCTCTGCTTTTGATTGTAGTTGTTTCCCCCTGTGGTCATGACGGCTTCGCACAGTGACTCTTTGGTGGTGTTGTTTGGGGCAACAGCTGGTGCATATGGGGCTAAACTGGGTTCGGATGAGAGGGAACTAATTCTCTTGGTGTGGCAAGTTGTGGATCTACACAGCAAGAAGGTATGGCTTCGATCCGGGCCGAGGGCGCGTTCCCCGGGCACGGGGCGAGGGGGCTGCCCCGGCCCTCGCCGCCTGCCCGGAGCCGTTTGTTCATTTCACAAATGCACCGAGGGAGGGGAGGGCGGGGGCCGTGCCCGGGGGTCAGTCCCTGCCCGGGGCCGGGGCCGTGCCCGGGGGTCAGTCCCTGCCCGGGGCCGGGGCCGTGCCCGGGGGTCAGTCCCTGCCCGGGGCGCACACTGCGGAAGGTCCTTTTTGTTCCGTCTGAAGGGAAGAAGTAACTTTTAAAGAAAGTTTGGTCGCTTCCCACCCCTTGCTGCCCCGTCCGCCTTAAAACGTGTGTAGCTTCGAGGATGTCTACGGACTTCCGAAGCTTTAAAACAAAAAGCTGCCCCGGGTGGCTCCAAGCACGCACGCTTCCCTGGGAGCGGGCTCACGGTAACCGCTGGACCCTTTGCGGCCTGCTGCGAGAGCCTTTTCTTTCTTTCCTTCTTTCTTTTTAACCAATATTTGGATAGCTTTTAAGAGACTATTGAGTTATTTTAATTCTTAGGCCGATCTAAAAGTCATCCCCAGTTTCCTTTCCCCCCCAAAAGCCCTATCATAGACAAGAGCCCCCTAGAGATGAAGGGCTTTGATAAAACCAACACGACTATCAATTTCCTTAATAGATTAACGAAACTGCTTTAACATTAAGTGATCTTCCCTTTGCAATTAACAACTCCCGCGAAAATGGGTGCTAACTGCAAAAGGCACCCCAGGGAAACGGGCGCGGCCCCCCCAAAGCAGAGCGTGTGGCTCTGGCGGGTGGGAGGGAGAGGAAGCGAGGCCGAAGGGGCCGATTTGTGAAATAGACAAACGCTCTTCTGGCTGTTGTTGGGCGGCCCCTGCACCTCTCCCGGCCCCTGCACCTCTCTTACCGCTCTGCAGGCCCAGCGCGGCCTTTGAAAGAGCTCCTGGCATTGGGCCTCATTTTTGTCCATAATTTCTTAAATGTTTTTAGGTAGGGACACTACACAAATCCCTGGTGAAAGCAGACAACTTGGACTTAAGTGACCAGTGTCGCGAAGTCAGTGCCTTAACGCCAGAGGGACTGAGCAAAGCCGAACCGCTGGACCGGGTTCTTCAACAGGTGAGGTGCTGCCCTTGGGAGCAGGGGCTCTTCAGGGCAAACCTGCCAACCGGATTTAACGGATTTGAAAATAGAGATAGGCTTTAATTTTGCCTTTCACTTTGAACTCACTAGGAAGTTTCCATGCTTGTTTTAAAGCTAACCCAAAAGGGACCCGAACCATTTGAAATGAGAACCCCATAATTCTGAAAGAGTTTTGTGTGATACCAGAGTATTTGAGCTGATGCTGTAAGTCCTTGGAAGATCTGACTTCTGGTTATTTTGATGGGTCTACTTTTACCCTAAATTTCTCTTAAGCCTTAAAGAGTAGGCTGGTAAGGATACTACTTAATATAGCAATGCTAATCAAAGTTTCAAAATTCAAGTGGTGTGTTTTAATCTACAGGTTCGCTGCTATAATGGGTATTAAAAAACTTGACTTTTTCCTCATTTGTTATTCTTAAAAGTTAGTTGAAATCTTCAAAACTATATTTTCAGATAACATCAGCTGTACTTGTTGTGTATCACTCTTTTCCAGATGAGTTTAATTAGTGGATTATAAAGTGATTAAAGTTTTTTTTCCCTATGATTTCTGTAATTTTGCTCTTTGGCTCCTTTAATGTCCCAGTAAGATAGTAAATCTGTAAGTTTGTATGATACATCTCAAGAAGACCGAAGTTACTTATAATAATTAAATGCCAATAGTGTATACATACGCAGTTCCTGAAAGTTTGCTTGCTTTGACTGTCTTTTTTATACACAAAATGTGCTTGAATGGAAAAATACAATAGTGCATTTTTCTGTAACACATAAACCTGGCTTTCCACACCTTGTCTGAATCATCGTAGGTGTGTTTCAGCGAGAAACTTGCTTAGGCAGTAGAACAGGTTCATGTTGCTGTAACTTCTGGTGACACAGGTAACTTGGCAGACTTGGTCCTAAACCCTCTTTGATACTGGAATGGTTAACACTACACTTTGTAGTGAGTGTCTTTGAACATGTAACTTTTACGTGTCTTAGAATCTGTCAGCATTAGCTGCAGGTGGCATTTGTTCTGCTTGCACTGCTTTTGCTGAAGCCCAAGACCAAGGGGTGATTTTTTTTTTTTTTTTTTTTTTTTAAGCTCTATAATAACCCCTGAGAAAATGTGCAGCTGCAGGTTTGATCTTGTCCCAGATCTTGCACTAAAGACATCTGGAACAGCTTAGCTTAGTACACTCTATTTACCTTTATAACAGACACACTTTAATTATACTCGATACTTTATGAAAGATTGTATCTTATTGCCGTAAATTGCACTGTAGGTGGGTCTGCTTTAGCAAATAAAAGGAAATACTGCCTTTGTGTGTAGGTGGGTAGAGACTCTTGAAAAACAACAATTTTTTTTCCTTTTTGTTTGCATATCTATGCAACTAAATAATGATTTTGCTGTTAATTGTTGGGTGCCAGTTGTGATGTGGCTAGTTCCATCATAGGTCTTCTGGAACACACCTTACTTAAACTATTCTTGCTTCCCCTCCATGTGTCCTGACTCCTTCTGGGAGTTAGGAGAGAATTAATTCAACCTCCTGCTTGCAATGGTGGCAAAAAGAAAACCTCTATATTCTCAACATATATGGATTTTTTTTTTTTCTTTCTCAGTTAAGCATTTTGATTAGCAAAAGTGCAGGTGGGTGGTGAAGTGGTTGTTTGAAAAGGAGGAGGAAAAGGAAGTAGACTGGTACCTTGATTTGAGATAATGTTGTAGAGTATATGAAATTAGCTTTTCACACCTTGCTTGGATTGTAGTAGAAAATTGATGATGCAGCTGGAAATCACTCACTTTAGCACATATCTCAGTCATGTAAATGAAAGTTTCAGTGCCTACTTCTGGCTTTTGCCTTGGGTTCCCAGTCTCTACATCTAGAGGGAAGTGAGAATCACTAAGCACAAACCTGTTGCAACTTTTATCTGTGCTTCAGAGGTCTCTCTCAGCCTCGAGCGTCCTGTGGTTCTGATTTGGTGTTTGGGAGCTGGTAAACAGTAGATCAGCTGCTGTGGGTCTGGAGTTTTTCCACTGACCACAGAAAGCTGCCTTCTTTTGCTATTTAGTTCACTTTCCAGCAATGATGGAGTCTGCCAAAGGCCTGTAACCTGTGGTTAGGTCCTTACTCTGCTTTTAAGAAAGCACTTCCACAAATGATGTATGTTTTCAATTGTACTTCACGTTCTTCAAGTGCTACATCTCGCACAGCTTGTTACTTGAGTTTGTCTTAGGAAATATTCTGAAATAGGATTCCTCATCAGTATGTTTTTGCTGTGTAATTTTACAAAGTGAGGTTCTGGAACACCGTGCCCCCAACCAACCACGATGTTTGCTGCAGTGTATGTTCTATGTGTTTTGCTGCAAGTTTTTAAATACTGTACTTGTCCAGGGTAACAAGCATTTCATTCCGTAGATACTACTGCATTTCTGACAGGTGATGTGCAATGTTGTGATAGCTATGCTTTGGGTGGGGAGGTGAGTACATACAAATATCGGGGAAATAATTACCTGAAAGCATAAAATGTGTGCCCTTTAGAAGCAGCCTGCTTGAAGTATTTAGTTCAAAATGGCATTAATAACTTATCTCTGATGTTGGACCAGCAATGGTGAACTGAGTGCTGCTGAATGAGATGTATTGCAGTTGCAGAATACTACTGAGTAGAAAAATGTGAGGATTTTTATTTAACAAAGTGGGAGATCTCTTGTTTAAGTGTGTATTTGGAACTGTCTTGAGCCTGTGACATAAGCCTCTAAACATGCATTAGCTACACCACTCACCAAGGGGAAGAGTTTTCTTCCTGCATTACTGTTACAGTCTTGCTAGGTTTCGTTGTTCAGATCCTCAAATCACAGGGCTGGCTTATTTAGCACACTACTTATGTTTTTTCTAATTAGCTGCTGTAGCTTTATAGTTTCTCAATTTCCAAGCTTTTAAGGGGGAACAATTATTTTCGGTTGCTCTCTGAAACCTTGCAGAAATGAAGGCTTGCTTTTAAAGAGCAAAACCAAAATGAACTTTGCCTTTCTCTCAGCCCCATTACTTTGTCATTAAAAAGCTGACATCCTCATGTGCTTCTCTGATTTTAGCCATGGGGGTTCTAAGTTAAAGATTGCATACGAAGTTGAAAGTGTTGTGCATTTCTTAATTTTTCACATACAGAAAGCCTGGCTGAATCAGTGTGACTTGCCTTAAGACATGTTACTTTCCTTTTGCAAGGCAATATTTGCATGTCTTCCTGACAAAGGATAAGTCTAGGAAAAGCTAATAATTTTGGAGAGCTGTCTGAAGTATTTAGCTGTAATTACCACCTTACTTTGAACGATACACATAAAAAGGGAGAGGTTCTCAAGTGAGAGCTGGGTTTGCTTTTGGACCTGTTGAAAGCATCGAGATTACATCTATGGATTGACATTTAAGTATTAAAGTTTGCTTAAAACACAGTCCTAATCTTGCTGATCTTTCATCACACTGTACATTGAATCCAATATGTGAATGATTATTTCGATTGATATTCTTAAACAGAGAAAGATAAAGCTGGGCCTTTTCTTCCCCCCACTCCCCTAAACAATGCACAAATTTAAAATAGAGTGGTTGCCATTTCAGCAGGTGATAGCAAATTACCAGTTCTCTAAAGTATGTTTGGATGCCTATTGATCATCCAGCTGAGCTGCAGGTGCAGTTTATTTTCAACACATTCAGCAAGAAACAAGCTGGTTAAATGAGCATTTGGAAACAAATGGGATGGGGGGAGAGATGGAAGAACCAGTGAATTCCTCTAACCTGATAAACCGGTTACAACTTTTTTTTTTTAAGAGAAACTTGTTCTGCAGCCTCTTCTTCACAAAATGCTAGCAGAAAGCTTTCTTGGCTCCCCTGCCAGCTGTCACACCTTCATTTTGCAAAAATGATTTTTGGAATATATTTTTAATACACCTTTCAATCTTCAAACTGCAGAAAAAAGGAAAATGCGAGGTGATTTTTTTTTAAAATTATTTTATTTTTTTGTGTCTCAGGGTTGGTTCTACAACTTCAGGTTATTTGGTGACTGCATCATCTCAATAAAACCCTTAACAGAGTCTGTATTTTGGAATATTTGCTGGGTCTGAGTTGTGATGTTCTGGAGCAGGTGCTTGGCAAACCTTTGGCAAGTGTTACCGGACAGGCTGTTCTTTCTATAACTAATACTTGGGGTGTAGTTTCACAAGATTTGGCTTCAGCAGTGAAGCTGCTTCTTTCCTGCCCCTACACCATACTTTGTGATCTTTTTGTCGTGTCAGTGAAACTCTTTTGAAGCTGTGCTATAAACAGGATCACTGGGATGAGCAGGTGGGGTGGGAGCTTCTCAACTGCTTTGCTGTCCAAGCTCAGGTCCCATGAGACTCCACCCTTGGCTGTGTTTGCATGACCCAACATGTTTGGCGATACCAGCTCCAGGTGCCTCTGCCCCCGCACTGGGTTCTCACGCTGCAGTTGGATGGAAACTGGAGTGGCACCTTTCCCTTAGGTGGGTGCTGCTGCATGGACTCACCTCACCTGCATTATGACAATACAAAAGTTTTGGGGGCTGCAAATTGCACTGGAGCAGGGCTCTGTTCTGAGTTAAACCAGGTCTGGTTTGCAGCAGTTCTGTTTGGTACACAGTGTGGCAGATGAGGTAGTTTTTCTGAGGGCAGCCATAACACTAAGGTGTGGGTGAAAGGAGAGGAACATTTTAAGATATGCAGGCCACCAAGCCGTTTGTGTGGTGAAACTGGCCTTGGTGTGGTATCAGCAGTGAGTGATGAGGATTTCCTGATAGTCACAAGGTGGCCTTCAGGTTGTCAGGGCAGGTACGTGATAAACTCCTGCTCCTATAGGAGAGCTGAGTGTTCTGTGTGCATGTAGCCTTATGTGGAGTTCTTATTATGTATTGACATCTAATAGCCTCCTATTTTTGTAGATAAATTATGTTTGATACCTAATATTGGACTATCATCAGTATTTTCTGTCAGGAAT